GCCTCCAACATAGGAGGCAACTACATTCTTTATCATTCATGGAATATTTGTGTTGATGTTGAGATAGTGATGAAGAAGAAATTAATGATTGAAGAAAAGTGGAGAATTCTAAGGGCAATCTCAAGCCCATTGATGTTAGTATTTATAATATGAAGCTCTCTGTAATACCCAAGGATTTCTTACTTAAGATTTAAATAAATTATTTAAGCTCTTAGAGGGTGTATATGTGATAGAATTAAATTTGGGGTTGAAATTATAATGATGTAAGGAACTCAGGGACTAGAACCTTATAATTAAAGCTTAGGGACCAATTAACAATATTTCCTTTTTGTAAAAAGCCCCAAATCATGTGAGTCGACAGTTTCATTTTTCCCACTTTCTTTTTGGGGAAATAGGATCGTCACCTTTCTTCCGCCTGCAAATAGGACACAGGCTAGGGGTTGGCAGAAATTCTGTAATGCTGTCGCCCACTTCTGAAGGTGCTGTCGCCCATTTGTGAAAGCATAGAAAGGGGCTTCCGTCCGATAGATTACCGGATTAGTCGAATTGAGGAAATTTTAGGGTAAGTTTCCCAATTATGTGATGGTTTTGTTCTTAGATCTAATTTTCTAATTAAGAATGTGAATTGAAAGAGGAATTGAGAGACTTTTTGGAACTCTATTTCATGTCAGATTCGATTCTAGCAATATGGCCTACGATTTGTAGATCTTTTTAATTCTAACCAAGAAGATAGTACGAAAGTTTTAAATAACTCAAGAGGCAGCGTCGAGTGAAAAATTGATTAATAATTCGAGGTAAGTTGTTATATCCTCAAGTATTATTTTTAAAAGGTTTGTTTTATTGAAATTTATTTTACCTTTTCAGCGTATTTTATATGATTTTATTTGGTTACTATGTCTTAAAAATAAGAATATTTTATACTGAAATGAGGTGAATGTTGATCAAGCATTTTGAGTGTGGACTATTTTCTATCGAAAAGTGTGGTTTATTAAATTGGAAATAATTTTTCTTTTGATATTGGGTTTTCATGTTCTTGGTTGGCTGGATAAATTAACCCGTTCCTCAGGGGTATACTGAGGGTATTAATAGTAGTCCCGGGATCTATTTATCATGGAGTGTGATGTGGAGTGTGATGCTATATTTGGAGTGTGATGCAGCCTAAAGAACTTGAAATTGTTGTTTCTTTTTATCTAGTTTGGAATGTGGTTCCTTTATTGAAAAGTTGTTTACTTTATTTAATTATTATTTCATTGAAATACAATGCTTGATTAAACTAAATGGGTATACTCTTACTGAGCTGTCTAGCTTATGCTTTTAAAATCTTGTCTCATTTCAGGCACAGACGAGTAAGCATTTGGGGTTGCATTTGGGAGTGAGAGGCACAACGATTCTAGAATAGTTCTTTGGTTTAGTTTAAGTTATTATGGATTGTGGAATAATTAGAATTGAAGATCTATTTGCTATGACTTATTGCTATTAAATTTTATGTTGGATTTTATGAAGTGAGAATTAAGTGTTTTGGATTTGACCAACTTCTCGTACATGTTAATAAAGATGGAGTTTCTTATAGAATTTAATTTTATTGCATTTGGACACTAAAAGTTGTTTAGTTAAGATAGTCTTACACATTTATGGGGTCATCCCTATAGATGTGTGGCGTTTGTTACGTCTTGACCTTGGGGTTGGGGCGTGACACTCTCTATGCTCTTGTTTGCACTATTGTTGAGAAATGGTTTGAATCAAAAGGCCTTAACAATATACTCTAAGGTGTTGGACTTTCTAAAAGAACTGAAACAACTCATGTCATATTGAATTATATGTGGAACTAGAAAGGGAAAGTGACTTAATAATTATAGGTTTTTATGTTATTTTATTTTTAGGAATTTATAAAGTTGAGATATTCTTATTCTCTATTCAACTTAGTCTTTCTCTCTCTTTTCTTTTTTTCCCTTATGAATTGTGTTGAAGTTGGTTTTTGAATAAAACTCATTTTTAATGATAAAAGAGTTACTAGAAATCATTCTACTTTCAAATTTTCATCAATAAATTTTTTAGAAGTTAACAATTATAATTGCTAAGATTTAATAATTACAGTGTAAAAGAATAACCATATGACATTACAAGAATAAATGATTTTTTTTTTTATTTTGGTTTGCACAATTAGAAGCAGCCTCTCTTTCATCTCTTAATCCCACCTTAGTCACATGTTGTGCCCTTTGCTTCTAAAAGAAAAATATTATTACTAAACTATTTAGATTGTTGGTTAAAAGACATATTAGTTATTTAAGTAATAGTGATTGTAATTGAGATATAATCAATTACAAATTATTATAAGTAGCTATACATCCTAGAAGGCAATTATTCCATATTTTTTGTTTTGGAATGCTCTCAAGGGTATATAGCCAATCATACCCATTTGTAAGGGTTTTTTTTTTTTTTTTTTTT